CGACATGTTTCGAGAATTTACAAGCCAGGGTATAATGAGAAAGGCTGTGGCTGAAACGTAAAGCAAGAAGCGCAACATAAAATAAACTAACGCATCAACAGCCGCCTTGCGTCAGCTGTGCGAAAAGTCATCAATTCTCCCTGAATCATGCAACAGAACTGTAATATACAGTTTCAATATGAAGAATAATTCCAGAAACTGAATTTCAAACAACCTCATAGTTTCTATCCCGAAGAAGGTAGTTTTCGAATGGCCGAAAAGTTGATGACTGTGGAAAGCGATTGTGCACTCTGAAGAGTACGAATTATATTTTATACAGATATTACGATAATATATGTCCCAATTACTATTTACGTTACCTTACAAGTGAAGAAAAATCGTGAAATACGAGCCGACTTTCCGTCCATAATATTGTCACCCTACTGACCACCTGCAATGCGATGAGCAAGTCATTTGTCTTTCACCTGTCAACATACTTCGACGAAAGAATATCGACACAGCACGAGCGGCATCAAACATACTAGAAAAAGCCATAGCGCTCGTTCATAATCAAAGTGATGCAAATGTAAAAAGTGAACGAAATAACTATCGCCTAGTCAAGTTACTTCACCAATTCAGACACTTCCTCGGAAGGTATGCTTCTATGAAACGCTTCCAGCACCACCAAAACGATAATTGCATTTTCAGAAAGGAAAACTTCTAAGTATATGTCTACTAGCTATTTCGAAGCCGTTCATTTTCAGCATGCCTGTCGTGAAAACTAACTCCTTTTCTCATTACTAAATGGGTTGTGTCATCGTACTTTTTCCACATAAGAAACATGGCATTTAAAAATGGCAGATATTTTGCGAATATTCGTTAAGCCACGCGAATACGACAGCTGCAAAACGGCGAATTCTGCTTCCATTCATATTTCTCGATCGCCCAGTACGGACCGAAGCATAATGATCTCATCGATAGATCAGTAAGCTTTTTGTATAAATAAAGAAGCGGCCTGTTTGTCATTTTCTCTGTACTTCATTGAACCATCAGCAATGAATCGATTCAAGTCACTGTAGAATGTTACCTGAAAATCACCTCCCATGTCTATGAACGTTCAAAAAGATAAAATGATCGACTTGCTCACTGCCGTAATTTGCAACGGTACCATTGATTATTGGCTGGTCGCACTGTGTTGGCCGGTCAGTCGATAAATCGCAGCCCTACTCCGATAAATGTCATAATTTCTATAATATTGATAAACCATTTGGAACATTGCTGGAACAAACATCAAGCATACGCTAAATCTGGGTTATAAGTGCTGCTGAGCGTCTTGAATGTCGCTAATGACCGGAAGCCCGCTCTTTAAGTTCAGAAAATTACTTTAAAAATATCGGAAATATTGGAATAGTGCCTTATTGTATTTCATCCTTATCGACGGAGAAGCTTCTTTCATGTTTCAGTTGCAACAGTCGAAATATATGTCAACAGAGATGTGCGATTAGCTGTAACCAATCTAATTCAGAAATCATTCTTTAGCGTTGAAAGTGAAAGTGTGAAATGGACCTCACGGAGAGAAACTGTTACGAGGCAATGTCTGGCATCGCCATAAAAACATATTTCACGAAAATGATCAGCAAAATTTACCGAAGCACGAAAGAGCGTGTTAGCCGATCTGAGACTCCGGCTGCGCAAAAACGGTAATGCCAAGTGACGACGCAATTAAGACTTTTACCGAAAAGTTGCAATACTTAAGTGCAAACTGATGAAACAAGCTGAACAAAGGCTCTAGGTAAAAGAATATTTGATAAAATACTTAGTAAAATTCAAAACCGCATCCACATTTTTGAATAATAAAACAACTATCGTGCTGAAGCACATAATAATTTAATAGAAGTCATCAAGAATGGGTCTCAAATAATAAGGTATCTGATTCTGCTTCTTAAGAAACTGTGATGAGCAACCGACCTGCTTTTATAGGTTCACACTGCCTAAAATTACGACGAGCAACGAAGCAACTTTGCTGCAACGACATCTAGAAGGTGCCCTTTAAGTCACTTCAACATTTGATACTATTTCGCGTTTACAGGAAAAGAGAGCAACATTCAAGAGAATTACTTTCAACGTAATGATATCAGCGCACTGTTGGAATAGTTCAATAGCTTCAGACACGCGCTCCCCTCCTAGAGAATGGCCGTTGATAGCCAACAAGCGGTCGCCTACATACAGGGCACCAGTCCTACATTGTGAAATGTAGTTTTTGTTATTCTATGAAAAATAATTACTTTTCAACAAGACCACTTAGAGCCAACAGCGAAATGAATATGGGAGTTTTCCGTTCGTCTGTTCCGCCGACGGTTATTCCGAGTTGTCCACCTTTACGATTGAGCTGTTCTTTTTTACTGCAACTTTACAATATCCGACGAGCGTTGAAGAAGCCTGACAGCCTCTTCTACAGTGCACGTGTCTAATGGTATGTTGTCGATGGAAATCAGCTGGTCGCCAGGAAATATGGAACCGCAGCTAAAAAAGCACCGTTAAACAAGCAGTGTAAAAACTTATGAGTAACCGGTGAGCAACACTTCCAATTCGGACGTCGCTGACGACAACCGGTTCGCCTTTGTGACCTGAAGTGTTGCTTGAGATTATAACTCCAAGATTTTGCTTTCGTTCTGCAAGCTTCACTGTGAAAATACTACTGTTGGGTAAAACAGATTCTAAAACATTTTTTCTGAAGAAAAACGGTGAAAACAAATGTTTAACTGTGCCAATGACGTCAAACTCCATAACAAGAACGACGGCGCCATTGAGCCCCTTCAGCAAGTTGTTTCGTCGCTTGTCCCAGCATTAGTTGTATAGACATTAATGGCCAGCACTCGATCCTCGACCTGCAACACAGATCTAAATGGTCGAAAGTCAGTGAGTTAATCAATTCAGTGTGTAACTTGTTGCATGAATTGCTTCAGACGTGTTACAGACTGTCAGATCAATGCTTAGTGTACAGAAAACTCACTCACTCATATTCAACATTATTTGAAGTTCTATTCTAACCACTTTGTTGCCGCTAAGGCTGTTGTGGTTAAATGCATGATGGATCAAGTCCACACGTCAGTTCTGATATAAGCATTTCAAAAGTACACGAAGTAGATGAAATCATATCAAAGAGAAACAAAATTCAGATCACGGTAAATGTCATGAATCAGGACTATAGACAAAATAATTTCGATATCATAGATAAGCTTACAGAAAATCTTTGCAAAGTCAAAGCTACTACGGTCCCAAGTAGAGAAACCAAAGGCGATTTCACTGCTATCTGTCGAAGATGACGAATGTGAGATGGCCGTTGGCCAACACCAAGCCTGCTGATCGCAGTTAATATTGACATTACATAAGATTGTTGACATTAACTTATAAAAGTGAAGAGAAGTCAATGAGTTTAACAATTGATTTGATTATGAATGCTTAAAACTACTACCTTCTCATAGTTGTTCAAGTATACGTTACACCAATGTGCTTTGACAGTAAACAGCCTATTCGACAAATGTGCAGGTTACGTCTATATTGCCAACGGACTCCGCAATATCCCCACCGGCCGTCAAACCGTTTCTACATACTGTAACATGAGGCAACGACATCGATGTGCGTGTCTTGACGATGAAATGTCGGCACTTGTGAACTTCCTCCCTCTACTCTGAGCCAATAGTGACTGGATCAGAAGCCAGATTTTGAAAATACCTACCTAAAATATTAGCAGTGAATAGCCAATCGAATTTCAGATTATAAGAGAGATACAAATAATTCTGATATGAAATTTTCATCGTCCCACCAAGAAAGTACTAGGCGCTACTGAGAATAGTGATGAGCACTAAAAAACGATATTTGGCTGCTCCTACTCTGGACAGGTAGACAATTACATTCAATTACAGCAATGTTGTTGAATGAATCACAATATATCCGTTAACAGGTCTTCAGATTGAAATACGATGAACAGAGTTCAGTGGCCATTACTTTGATTCACACAAAAGAATAGTATTTCCCATTTTCTGATTGTGCCCCTCCTTCTCAAGCACCTGCAATCCACGGTCTCATCTCTGAGTTTACTATCCATAAAACGAGTATGTGGTCACATTACTTTGGAATTTTACAGCTTGATGATACTTCCCAGCATTAATAGACTCGGCTTCGACTTTCTTGACTGGATTTTCGGCTTAAAGTCATTTATATTACTTCAATAGCTCACTGCACTCAAATTATGCTGTTTAGTGATAGCTAAACTTTAGACCAAGTGAATAAACACGAAATTTTAAACACGCTTTCACAAGACTTGCATATGCTCTTTGAAAAGCTGTAATACGTTCTTCTTTTTACATCGCCGCTTCTCATTTCGGGTCGCAGAGGTAGACACGGCAGACAGAGCTTCCAATGTTCCCGATCCTGTGCCAGAGTCTGAGCTTCGGCAAAAGACAAATGCAGTCTGGAACAGACTCTTTCCATATGTTTGCACCAGGTTAATCTTGGCCGTCCCCTGAACCTTTTGCCGGTCGAATTTGCAAGTAACAGTTGCCTAGCCTTCCTTTCTGGAGGCATTCGCAACACATGCCCAAGCCATCAGAGCAGTGACAGATTTCTCAGTCTGGAGATGCAAAGGCTGCATTCCAAGGCTCTTCTGGATTTTACTATTCCGGATCATGTCGAGACGCGTAAGACCAGCGACTCATCTACGAAAAGCTGTAATATTCATTGAAAAACCAAATATCACGAGCAAACTTACTTTCAGGACGTTGTCGCTAAGCTCAATAGGCCGCACAGGTAGCTCGGCTCACCAACGAACAGTAATCATTGACTGGTACCTTTGCAGGTAGAGTGGACTGCTTCTCACCACAACGGTGAGAATATTAGATCAGTAGGAAGGAAGGCTGCACGTAAAGGGAGAACGGTCGAAAACGCCAGGAATGATGTACATTTTGCAGCTGAATTGCTTAATCCAATGCGTGTAGGACATTTTGTGCTTTTCGACCCCAGATATGAAACAGAAAGCACTGGCTACATGGTAAAGATATAGTGCCCCTTAACTTACTTTCATACAAGAAGAAAACTATTCATATGCAATAATACCTTGACAAACAGCCAAGGTACATTTAAAAATAAAAGCTCTATTTGGACAAGTTCTACATGGAACATGATCACAATCATCTGGGTAAATATTAATATTCAAGTTTCACAGACACGGATTACATTCCGATTTACAAGTTCACTTTCTCATGGTCTAATGGAGACACTGTACACAGACCACAGGTACAGGCCACACAGCAGCTGCAGCGCATAGACAAAAAAACAACAGCGTTGTAGTGAGCGAACTACAACTTGATTTGAAAGTCTGTGTCTTATCAGAACTAATCTTTATATTCGATGCATACTAGTAAAAACTAACTTCTGAAACCGCCCGCTAACATAAAGCATACGATTTGCTTCTGTGGAAAGCCGCGCGGCTTGCAAAATAATTTGTTGGAAATAATTTCAGTCCTAAGTTTGCTTTGATACTGCGAAATTGTGATTTTTAGTATAAAAGGATAAGAGACACGTGTACCAACATTTAATATATACTTTAAAAATTTAAATTTTGGTGCCATTCCTGTTATCATTGATTGATGATGTATCTTCATAGCAAAGACTATAAACTATAACACAATACAACAGTATACAGGTAATAAAGTTAAGGCATACAAATACTGACTAGATGCGACTGGATCAGATATAGACTACAAGTAAACATCATGTTGACAAGCAGTTTTTCAGCATAATGTTTCCTGCACATACTGCTCAAACGGAGTTGCGTAAGAGAACTACTAGGAACACCGAAGGAGTTCAGTGGTCATCTAGGTTTCAGTCCTTGTGGAATTCCATTTGGATATCTTTTCAGGGTAAGTGAAACAGAATCTCCGCATGAAGCGAGAAGGGGCACGACCATAAGGCAGTCCAGGAATTC